GATGTAGCTCCTCGATGTTCTAGGTATTGACGAAGACTACACCATCGATGGTCTTAAGCTTGTAGGCGCCTAGTCGGAGCACCTCTGTGATGACGTACGGTTCCTCCCACAGCGGAGAGAGCTTGTGGCGGTTCTTGTTGCTCGGGACGAGGCGAAGCACCAGGTCCCCAACATTGAAGGCCCAACCCCGCACTCGACGGCTGTGGTGCGGTGCAAGGCTTGCTGGTATTTGGCCGAGTGGAGGAGGGTGACGTCGCGCGCTTCATCTAGCTGGTCTCCTTCCTATGCTCCCCCTTTGTCAGAGACTCCGGACAAGAACCGCTTTAAGAGGCTGCAATCCTTGTATAGGTGCTCGACGGGGAAAGCATGGTTCGGGCATGGCCCTTCGAGCAGCTTCTCGAAGTGGTTTGGGTTACCCTCGATGGGCTTCCGACCCCCCTTACGGTCGGCGATGGCCACGAGTGAGCTCTCGCGCCACTGCTTGTTCTTCTTCTTGTTAGGACAGTTGGAGGCGCCTTCGCTGGCGTCCTCGTCCCGCTTCGTCTTGCCTTTGAGGATGTGTCGGTCAAAGGCCTGAGGTCCCTGCAAGTCAGGGCTTGGGCTTCGGTCCTCGCCGCTGTCGTAGCGTCCACCACAACGTGGGTGGTAGCCACGGCTAGCCCCCTCCCTCACATCGCCGTGGGTACGCCTGCGGGCATCGAGGGTGTCACATGCGTCGCGGTGGAGGCTGAGATGCTCATGCACCGGAACTGTGGTGCGCGGCCTGTTGGCTTACTACGACTGGTGGATCGACATGTCCTCGTCGGATTGTTCTAAGGGCGCATTATGTCTGTAGGCATCAAGGGTGTCGCGTGCATCTCGGTGGAGGCTGAGACGCTCATGCACCGGAACCACGGTGCATGGCCTACCACCTTGCTACGCCTGGTGGACCAACACGTCCTCGTCGGGTTGCTCTGAGGGTGTGTGCAGGTTGGCGTTGAGCTCGCGTCGTCGGGATAGCGAGCTCTCGGTCTGTTATGCTTCTGCACGCTCGAGTAGCATGCGAATCTCATGATGGACCCGACGATCCTCGGGCGTCGCGGGCTCCGGAAGCCCCTGGAGCAAGGCCGCTGCGGTGGCGATGTTCTGGCTTGCCCGGGTGAGGTGTGGGAGGGCTTCATCATCCTCGATGATCCTCTGGTTCATGTCACGGGCCATGGCGTGCGCACATCCACCATCTCCGTGGTGCTCGATCTCTACGTGTTTCTGCTCGACCTGGAGTCGTGCTTCCTCGAGCTCTTGGTGCCGGACCTTTAGCTACTCTACAGGCAGACGAGGTGGGGCCCCTGCATCCCCCTCGACCTCATCGCTGAGGTCGTTTGTTGTGGCGCCTCTCCCTCGTGGATGCTTTCGAGGTATCCCTTAGGAGTGCCTCGCCATGAAATATTCACGAGAGGGGTGACGGCGCCCCCCCTTTGGAGTTAGAGTCGAGGGCTACTCCGATTCTCCCACGAGGAGGTCGTGGAAAGATTCCGTGACATATTGGTCATCTTCGCGAACTCATCGTTCGCGGGGGATGGAGGCATGCGTTGCCCCACAAGGTGGCCAACGGTCTCTGCGGCATTATGGAGACCAGACGGGAGCGCTGTCGGGGCGCTCTAGATGAGGTATTCTAGAGATAGTGGCTCTCCTCCAGTAAGCTGCGCCATGACATTGGCAAATGAGAAGGTGAGGTGGCGCAGGTCCTCCCGGGACGGTCGGGGTCCCAGGAAGGCACCGAGCTGGCGCTCTAACCTTCCATAGTCGAAGGCGAGGAGCTGGTCACTCCCGGGGTGTGGGCCTCGGTGCATGCATGCTGTTGTAGCTCCTCGAGCACCTCGGCTATCGTGTCAGGCGGTGAAGTGGAGAGATTGACGGCAGGCGGGAGCCCGCACCAACTCTCCCTCTGTTGTGACGATTAAGTCCAGGTCCTCGGCGCGCGCGTCGCCGCCGGGACCCAGCTGACGTCGTGACTAGCCATCCGAGGCCTAGTGTTGATGTAGAGACGTGCAAAAGGCCCCTACCTATCGTGCCAACTATCGGTGTTTCAAGTTACCACCAACGAGTAAATTTCTAATATTGTGCGTCTGGCTCAGATGGTGTGCTAAGAGGACACAAGGTTTATACTAGTTCGGACATCCCTACGTCTAGTTCATTGCTGCTGCTCGTGTTACTAGCACTAAAAGTTCGTAATACGGGTTACAAACGGGCGAGAGAGGGATGGGTCCCAAGTCTCTGCTGAAAAGAATGAATGGGTGCTGAGAGCTCGGATGCTACTCGGCCGCAGTAGAGTGGTCAACTCCCTTCCTTTGGGATGTCTTGCTTCCCCTTTTATAGACGAATGGAAAAGCAGCAGTTACACACATATAGAAAAGGGAGAAGAGCTAAGGAGAGGAAGGCCTCCCCGGACTCGCTGGGCCTTTTTCTTCTCCTTTACGTGGGTTCCGACACATGTAGGTGGTGACAGAGATGGCTCCACGCTAGGTGTCTCAGACATCGCATATGGGGGACGGGGGACGTCACCACGCCGAAAAGCCTGTTTCGTCGTTGATGCCACGCCCTGGCGTTGTCAGTGGGTCATGACATCCCATTGCGTCCCGGCGGGCGACGCGGCTAACCAGTTTGCTGGTCAGTGACCATACAAGGAGTGGGTAGCATAGTGACCACGCGTCTATCACTATTGATGATGTGAGTTCCCTAGAGTGACATGTCGTGGGCATAGGTCATGTTGAGATGTGCCCGCTCCCTGCACAATGCCAGAAGTTTGACCTTGGGTTGTACTTTCTGGCATGTAGTGGTTGGCGGTAGTATGGGCTTTCGTCAGAGCCTTGCCTGAGGGGTTGGCAAAGACAGAGCCCCCGACCCAGAGGCTGGGCGAGGCAGAGCCCGCAACCTCGTGGTCAGGAAGTGGCGGAGCCCGTGACCTTGGGTTCGGGTGAGGCAGAGCTCACACGCCTGGGTCAGCGAGGCGGAGCTCATCCCGTGAGAGGCCGGGCGAGGCGAAGCCCGCGACCTTGGGGTCGAGCGAGGCGGAGCTCATCCCTAGAGGCCAGGCGAGGCGGAGCCCGCGACCTTGGGGTCGGGAGAGGCGGAGCTTGCCCCCAGAGGCTCCCCAGAGGTCGGGCAAGGCGGAACCCACGCATCTAGGGGGCTGTTGGAGCCGTAGTCGTACTCTTGACTGCTTGGATGAATTAATGTTGATGGTCATTAGCTTCTCCTCTTCGGGTACCCTAGTATTTGTCCCCGACAAACCCCTATCGACAAAAATTCACGGCTTCACCACATTGGCGCCCGCCCCACTCTGCCTCACCGCTGCGCACTGCGTGGGGCCCCCATCCCGCTCCACTCCGCGTCTGCTGCTATGACGTGCCCACTCCTCCTCCAGAACCTCATCGATGCCGGCGTGGTCGACGAGTCGGACGTCTTCGGCGGCACGAGGACGACAATGACCTCCTCCGGCGCTTATCAACGTGGACCTTCCTGGCGAGGATCTCGACCTCGGCGTGTGGAAGCTCCTAGCCGTTGCGACGCTCTCCTTCGTCGGTGCCCGCATTGCTCGGTTACCTCGTCCAAGCAGCAAGGTGACATTTGCGCAGCGCATGTTGCAAGCTTATGTTTCAAGTGTTTAAGGTATTTCATCTGGATATTGCAAGTGTTTCATCTTGATGTTGCAAAATTAAAGTAGATCGTGATGTTGTACATGTTGCAATAGTTATACACGTACATTTCAAGTGTATGTTCCATATGTTTCATCTATTTTTTCAGACGTTCATTGCAAGTGTTTCGTCTAGATGTTGCATATGTTTTACACGTATGTTGCAAGTGTTTTATCTAGATGTTGCATATGTTTGCAATAATTTTCAAGAGTTTTGAAGTGTTTTGCAAGTGTTTCAGATGCATGTTTCTGCTGTTTCGAACGTATGTTGCAAGTGTTTCATCTAGATGTTTTAAAAGTAGATCGAGATGTTGCACATGTTACAATGTGACCCATCCTGCCACAACCACCTGCTGCAGCTGCTTGGGCGCCGTGCATGCGCATGGGGGAGCGGAGGGCGATGGCGGCAGGGGCGCAGGCGTTCCCCGCGTGGCATGCAGTGCCGGGTGCGGCAAGCGGAGGGGCGTGGGCGAAAAGCGGAGGAGGCATGGGCGTCCGAACAGAGGCACGAGTTGGGGGCGCGGTTTCCTAAGAGCAGCAGATGGCGCAGAAACAGACTACACCCACAGGCAGACGGGCGTCCGTCCGGACGCTTGCAGGGCCCTTATCATAATCCACCAAGTTTTGACTACATGTTTAGTTTACAAATGCTCTGGTTGCAAGTACGGACTACATGTTTAGTTTACAAATGCTCTGGTTACAAATTCTCCACCTCCTTCCAATTCAGTCCTTGAATCCATGAACAACAACTCAGAATCGATGCACGTCCTTTGATGATTTAGAAGCACGCAAAACTGGAATGAAGTAGATCCTACTGTTAGCCCATTTCCAAGCTACAGTCTACTGCTGTACCAAACTACTCCCTCTACTTCACAAAAACGGTTGTTCTAGTTTTGTCCAAAGTCAAATATTTCCATATGTGACAATCAATTTCTTAAAATTAGTACAGTTTAATATCATACTCTGTATGTTTTTTTTGGTACATAATTCACATGTTGTTAAACTAATAAACTATATGGTTTAGGTGAGCGCGCTAAACGAATCAGTCAAACTGACGAACGACGCAGTCGAGAAGCTTCGTGCACATAAACATATATGCGTCGTTTGACAAACCCTTCAGTTCTTCCTGGAGAAGATTCAGCAAAAAAAATCAAGTCAACTAGGTGGTGTACACCTAGTCCATCAGTACTCAATTCAGTAATCAGGGCCATCAGCATCAGGCGCTACAAACACCAGCAAATAAAGCCCACCCAGGACCAGGAGCCAGTGCCATCAGCCAAACAAGATCACGACGGTGACTACGGCCGGCGAGGGCAAGCAAGCAAAAATGAGCGGCAGCGCGGTGAAGGTGATCGGCTTCTTCGACAGCCCGTTCAGCCACCGCGCGGAGGCGGCCTTGTGCCTCAAGGGAGTTCCCTACGAGCTCATCCAGGAGAAGGACCTGCGCAACAAGAGCGAGCTGCTGCTGCAGCACAACCCCGTGCACAAGAAGGTGCCCGTGCTCCTCCACGGCGACCGCCGCGCCGTCTGCGAGTCGCTCGTCATCGTCGAGTACGTCGACGAGGCGTTCCAGGGCCCGCCACTCCTCCCCGCCGACCCCGCCGACCGCGCCGCCGCCCGCTTCTGGGCCCGCTTCATCGACGACAAGGTAACAGTTAACCCCGTCCGGTTGACATCGCAAGTTTCTTCAGGTTCGTTCGAAGTCGTGAATCGTGATCGATCGAATGGTGTGCATGTTCCTGGACGTCGGCAGTGCTCGAAGGCGTTCTGGCTGGCGATGTGGACGGAGGGCGAGGTGCAGAGGGGGTTCGTGAAGGAGATCAAGGAGAACCTGAAGCTCCTGGAGGGGCAGGTCAAGGGGAAGCGGTTCTTCGGCGGCGACGCCGTGGGCTACCTCGACGTCGCCGCCAGCGCGTTCGCACACTGGCTCCCGGTCTGCGAGGAGGTCGCCGGCGTCAGCCTGGTCACCGCCGAGGAGTACCCGGACCTGTGCCGGTGGGCGAAGGAGTACACCTCCCACGACGCCGTGAAGCGGTGCCTGCCCGACAGGGAGGAGCTCCTCGCCCGTTTCAGCGCCAGGAAGGACTCGTTTGTGGCCATGGCGAGGTCAATGGCGCCGGCGCCGGAGAAGTAGTCCTGCGTGCATGCCACAGTACGAATTGTTTGTGTCGAGAGGGGGTTGTTGACTTGGGTGCATGGATAACATAAAAGTATTGTAACAAGTGGACAGGACTGCTGTCATGTATGATGGCTCTGTCAAAGCCCGGGATATGCTCTCAGGCAAATGCCATCTGTCCAGATGCATGTGTTTGGTTCCAACTTTGTTTGACTGCTTTAATAAAAAAAAGGGTACCCGGCTGTGTTCCTTAACTAAATCTTAAATGTGTTTTCCGATAACTTTTTGATTTTTTTGAATTAAGGAATATAAATTTCGGTCTCCAAACATTCACGAATGAATGAGTGTAGCCGTTTAGTACAAATTCATGACACTGACATCATGCTCCACCACACGGTAATACGAATCGTTAAGACTCCATATACAAAGCAAAGACATAAAAATTAGGACTCAATCCGATTTTTAAAACACCACCTAAACTTGTTGAAGATCTTGCTCACCGATATAACCTTTAAAACTAACTTTTGTTTATAATATAATTATCCATGGATAAATATGTCATAACAATTTCTTCACATAATGTTTCTAACGCAATTTTTATATAATAAATTTACTAATAACATAACTTGTACACGTAAGTTTTCATTGTTCCATGTTTTTTTTTAAATATAAGCAACTTATCCTGCGCAATATATAATTTGTTTCGAAAAAAATTTATCAACTTAATTTTTTTTTTGTAGTATATACAAGAAAAATGGTTTGGTTAATATGAAAAAATAAAAAAGGAAAGGAAGAAAGAAAGGAGAAAAAAAACTACATGAACGCTGAGGCTCGGGGATCACTACCGTGGAATCGTTTGCTCCGAGCGAACGTCCGCTAGTTAAATTTGTTCTATGTGTTCTTTTTTAGAGAGTCTAGCTTAACTGGTGTTTCTATATATGGTCCGACGGATCACGGATGTATCATTGTGTGGGGGTGGGGGTGGTGGAGTCAGTTTCTTTCTGTGGTTCGAACACCCAACTTAGTTTAGTTTGTGTTTGGTTTGAAACATGAGAAGGAACGGTCCCATCTTCTCATTTGGTTGAGAGATGAAATCATTCTTATTTTGTGTTTGGATGGATGGAGAGACAAGGATGGATGGTTGTTTGGTTTCCATTAGGAACCATTAGTGTGGTTGTGTGGGGCTCACATGTCATCCGACTTTTCACCTTCTTTTCTCCCGCAAGGACTCACCCACCACGACTGTCATGGATTCCGCTGCTCTAGCTCGATTTGGCTTGTCGGCCCTACTAGTCTAGCAGCATGGAGCTCACCCAATTCACCACCTTCTCTTCCCCCGCTAGGACTCACCCACCATGACTGTCATGGATTCCATTGCTCTAACTCGATTTGGCTTGCCGCCCCTGTTACCGAATTTTTTATTTTTTAGACTTTTTTTTGAAAATTTTCACAAATATGTCCCTGGAGGTATGATTTCAAAATCTGGACCCTTAGCTCGGCGTCATAGTTGTTGGCGCCGAGATCTTGGGCTCGACGCAGACGTGACGGTGACTTGGCAAGCATCTCGGCGCCATAGATCCTGGCGTCGTAGATCAAGGCGCCGAGCTTGGCGCCGTAGATCTTGGCGTCGAGCTTGGCGCCAGGATCTATGGCGCCGAGGTGGTGTTTTAACCCAGCCCCCAACCTTCCTGTCCGAGCCTTCTTGCTCTTCTTTCTCCTCCCTCTCGGGTTTTTTCTCTACCCACTTCGCCCTACCACACGAATCGGCATATTGGACCTTGAAAACTTTGATTTGATCCGTAGATCTTCGAGAGTAAGGTATCCTCGCTCCTCTCCTAGTTTTTTTCGCATCGATTCGGTATATATTAGTCGGATTTTTTAACCTAAGAATCGTCATTACTTAGGGTTTCATGTAATTTTTAATATTTGTATTATACAACCGTAGGATGCCAAGGCGTGGAAAAGCTAGCAAACCAAGGTAACCTCAGTGCATGTTGTTATATTGTGGGTTCATTATTGTGCATCAAATGGGAAACCCTAGGTTTAGGGTTTAATGTTAATTGCTTTCGGTTCTTAGAACGAAATGGGTTGAATTGTAGTTATGGTCGGATGACCGAAAATGCCTTCAACCCATTGCCTCTGCCTAGTGGTGTTCCAGTGCCCATGTGCTTTTGCGGCGATCCTTGCAAGGTAGCCAAGTCCGATGAAGAGGACACATATAGGCAGAGGTATTGGATGTGTTCCAATTTTGTGTTTGAGCCTACACTTCGTCAGCGCCGCATTAACAAGATGGAGAGGAATTGATGTTTGTGTTATATGACATCTTGCATGATTTTTTTGTTTTGTAACAATTGCATTTTTTGCAGACCCCTCCACCGCTCTGTGATTTTGATAAGTGGATCTACACTGAGATCAAGCCTGAAGACAAGGAATGGATGCAGAAACTATTGCGGTGGGAGGCAGAGGACAAGGAGATGATGGAGAACACGAAGAGGAGGCTGCAAAAAAGGAGCACAAGGAAGAGGAGAAAAGGAGGCGTGTTGCTGCGTACGAGGAGAGGGAGAAGAAGCTTGAGCGTGCACACCGAGTGAAAGCAGCGATGGAGGAGAATCCCGATGCCCTAAGGAAGGGAAAGTGGCCTCGTTGCACTCAGTAGTCTCCATAACTTGCTAGTTCTATGGTTTATTCATGAACAATGCTGTCTACCGTCAGCACGTACTTCTAGTATTATTATGTTGTTTAATGTGGCATAGTATTGGACTTTTCATTATGTAGTTATTTTCATTATTTGTGGTCATAATATTTAGTATAATGTTGCGGACGTAGTAAAATGTGATCACGTGCTGCAAACACAACCTAACGAAGTAGGGCATTATATAATTCAACACACAAAACACATGAAATGGCATGTCAGAACATGTACCAAACTAGGGTACAGAGTTCCTTCGACTAAACCTAACATGCCTTAGGTAATTAAACCAAACAACAAACACATAGATGTGCCATGTGAATAAGATAGAGTTAAATCCTGTAGTGTGGCCACATAGCAAATTATGTTGCACCTTCTCCACGTAAGCCTCCCATTGTTGGTGGTGGTGGTGGCGGGGTGACGACGGAGGCCCCTTGTTCTTGTGGTTAGGGCAGGTGCAATATGAATCATTGCAGAGTGTCTCCTGTGAATCGGCACCATTGTTGTTGTCATTCTGTTCGTCATCCTTGTAACCGCTGCTAACTTTTCTTTCTAGATCGAAGATACGGTCCTACAGGTAGTAGATGTACTCCGTATGTAGATAAATAGGTCGAGGATCGACCCACCTAGTGAACCCACAGTTTTCTTCGGCCAAGGAAGACTGCAATAAGTATGTCATGTAAGTTGTATAGAAGAGGAACATATTGAAGAAATAAATAGTAATAGCAATTACCCATGCTCATGGGCATTTGAAGAAACGACGACCTCCATCTACTCCCTCGGTGAACATCTGCACCATGTAGTCCTCACCATGCATGCATTTTGGCCACTCCTTTTTGTTCATCGTATCCTCTCAGTGGTGCCTCTTTGGTGAAATCACTTTTGCTCTCAACTGGGAACCTCTCATAAAGAGCTTCCTTAAAGAAATCGGGACCAAGAGAACCCTCCCACACAATGGTAGTTCCCTTTCCCTTTCTCTCTCCCCTCGGACGACCCTTGAGACATTGGTATGCTGCAACGAAAGAAAATACTAGTTGAAAGTAAGTAGCAATGCATCCAAGATTACGATATATATAAAAAGAGGCGGGGTTTAGTTACCGTTTCAATGTGTTATAACTGGTCACAAGAAGCCTAATTAGTTTCACTGAACAACCTATTTTAATAGACACTGAAAAGCCTAGATTCATTTCCTAAAAAGTCTATTCGTCGTTGACATGATAAATCACTAAAAAGCCTAGATGCTATAGGTGTACTATGTAAGTGAAGTGATATATCGCTGCTGTCATCGTACTCCTCGTCCTTATAACTGAAAAGCCTAGGTTCGTTCGCTGTTACTGAAAAGCCTAGATGCTATAGGTGTACTATGTAAGTGAAGTGATATATCGCTGTTGTCATCGTACTCCTTATCCTTGTTATTGAAAAGTCTATTTTTATTGTCTAAAAAGCCTAGATTCGTTCACTGTTACTAAAAAGCCTAGATGTTATAGGTGTACTATGTAAGTGAAGTGATAAATCGCTGCTGTCATCGTACTCCTCGTCCTTGCAACTGAAAAGTCTATTTTCATTGTCTGAAAAGCCTAGATTCATTCACTGTTACTGAAAAGCCTAGATTCATCTGCAAAGCGTCTGTACGATACGATTAGACTATACACGTTCTAATGAATTTACATTTAATATGTGTACTATATGTGCATTTTTAGCAAAGGTAGTATAATTAATGATTCACAGAAAAAATTCGCAAGAGTTTCCCTTGTTTCAGGAGCATCCACAGTTACAAACAGAGACATCATTATATAATCCAAATATTTAATCATCCAAAGAGCACAATACAACCACATCGAACATCACAATTAACATAACATGTCCTGCATAGTCTAAATAGTCCACAATGTCCATACAACCCCAAATAGTTATAGGAAAGTAACTATAAAATCTATAATAGTACATACTAACATCTACCACAAACCCTCACTGCCTCCTAGTATTACCCTTACCCTTGTGACCAAGAGCGCTAGTACCTGAAGTGTAAGGGTCAGGTGGACGGCGTCGCCTAGTGCATGGAGGCTGTGTAGGCTGAGTCGAGGGAGCATCCTAGAACTGAGAGGGGCTAAGCTCCTCGTGCCTCTGGTCCACGTCGTCCTCGTCCTCGTCCTCGTCCTCATCCCATGTAGGTGCTTGGCTAGAGGAACCTAAGCCTCTTTTGCCTGCGGAAGGAACGTACACATCTTGCGTCATGTCTGTCCTGCAACCACAACGAGCAGCCGCACAGCGTAGCCGACGTGACAGCCTCTGTTGTACAAAATTATGTTAACTGAAAGAATCTAACTTA